TTTAAAAAAAAAATGTATCCCCCTCCCTGAGGCTTACTTTGGACAAGGGAGGAGTGAGACAGGAGCTGGAGTCTGCATCCAGCACAAATCAGCCATTGAAGTCACCTGGCCTCTCCTGATGTCAGGAGGAGGGGGCATGGTTTCATTGCTCTTTTCCCATCCGCTGGGGAGTCTGGGAGAAGAGCAGTGTAAGTCACATCCCCTCCTCGTGACATCATCAGGAGACCAGCCAACTTCACTGGCTGCAGGGAGAGAGAGGTAGTTGGAAAAACCAGAGTCCCCAGCCAGAGGCAGGGGATTCAGATTTTTGCCCCTCCCTGCTCTGGTACCCTAAGGTGACTGCCTGTGCCGCCTTATGGATGCTCCGGCCCTGCACGCAATTCACATGACTACGTTGGATGATGGATAGCTTATTAGAAAAATTATATGAATATTAAAAATGGAAACTACACCCTCAATCTGCATTAGCAACTAGCGGAGACCAGTCTATAAGCTCTTGGTGAAATGATTATCCTAAGTTTTTCAGAAGTTAACTAGCATACTCACTATTACATATAAACACCCCCAACTACCATGTCTGGTATTTCTTTAGTGATTGGGAGTTCAGTTAATACCTTGTACTTAGACGTGATAGACTAGCCTGTTCAATACACTATATTATAAAATTGTGCTACCTCATAGAACTGCCACACACTGTACCGTGACTTAATGTATATGATATAATGCAACTGTATTTCTATGTCACTTGTTATTCTTGTAGCTGTTGTTGTGGCAGTGCAAGACTCTTTGTACAAACTTCAAACTGTGGAGGATAAAATACACACTTACTGATATCTGAAGACTTCAGCAATTCCTGTGCTTTATTGAGGAGATGGTCACTCTCAAGTTTTTGATAATTAATCTGGTCGTCAATTCCATCCACAGCCTATCGACAGAATAAATAATTACATCATCCAGTAAGTGACAAGCATGTATGTGTCATTTATGTTAAGTGTTACTGTTAAAACGTAAGTCACAAGGGTGCTTATGTGCTTTTATCAGGGTCACTTAAATATAAAATCATTCTTCAGGACTGCATTAGATAATATAAACACTATTGACTGTTACCAATGGATCACTGGATCCATAATTTAACAGATGTATATAATATTAAAGTGATAAAAACTGCTGGCTCACATCACTGAAAAGGTAACTGTATGCAGTACCGTGTATTGTGGAATGATACATGCCATACATGTAGCTACACTTATTTGTGAACATTTATGCACAAAGATACAACATCACCATGGATTCATGTTGTGTATAATATATACAGTTGAAGCAACAAATTGTAGGAGATGTATCTGTGTTCTAAAAATTATTTTTGTTTTATTCAAACTGTATTTTTAAATTGCTTACTTAGTTTGTGTTGTGCTAGAAAATTTTGAGAAGGATCTTCCACTTAGCTGAATTTTGTTTATTTGGAATGGAAAGCAGAGAAAGTCTCTCTGATCAGCACACTAAACACTACATTTATAAAAACATATTTAGAACATCGTAACTTACATCATTAACTCTTTCAGCAACATTTAGTGCCATGACAGCCGTCTCATTGGCATCTTCAACAAAATTCAAAATCCTCTCATGCACATTGGACGCATTAATGGCTTTTTCCACCAATCCATTTGTGTCAATATCTTTCAGATTACTGTGAATAAAACATGTAAAATGTAAGCTCTGTGTAAAAAGTGAAAAAAAACAAAAAACCTCACGAGTTATAAAGTTTTGACAAATAAACATTGAAAACCAAACATTTTCTTTTACAATGAGCTGTATCTACACATATACGATGACAAGAACACAATTGCTTGCAGTATAAAGAATATACCATTTTCTTGTTATGAGTTACAGTCGTTTGTTCTATGAAACTATTCTTTCAAGTATATAAATATAGAATATGCAGCTTCATTAGTGAGCAGAATAAACTAATTTTGCATTATCATCTACACCAGGGATAGGCAACCTTCAGCACTTTAGATATTGTGAACTACATTTCTCATAATGCTCTTACAATGTATCAGGGGAAATGTAGTCCACAACACCTGGAGTGCCAAAGGTTGCCTACCTCTGATCTACACAATTTAGAATATAATCTCCCTAACACAATACATCACACTTCACTTTCACACTCTTTGACGAGAAATCTTGACACCAACCATTAGTTGACACGCATTTTTAAGGTACTGATACATATTAATTTGTCTGCACCGCCCTAGCCCTCGGTGGACTGATCTGGTCAACTATGGTTCTCACGAGCTGTAGCGATGTGCCCCCTGGGGAGGAACACGGTAGTGACTGACACTTGCGATCTCGTGTTACCTGATATTGCAACTGTAACTGATTCTAACCTCATTCTGTTTGGATATCTGATGCTTTTACTATGTAACCTTGTATTCTGTTATTAATGCGGGTCTGCGAGCCCAAATTTACCTATTGACATGCATCAATAAAAACGGATTAATAAAAAAAAAAAAAAAAAAACAAAATAGAATATAATCTTTCTAGTTACAGGTATAATTTACCTTGTCAGTCCATCAGCCTGTCTTTGTAGTTTATAGGCATGATCAATTGCCTGTAGGACAATATCTTCAACATCAAGGGTTAAATTAGCAAGCCTCTCCTGCAAACCTTTATTAGCTCCATCTATTTCCGCATGATGTCCAGACATATTCTTTGGGGAAAAAAAATACAAATTTTTACAAATTTTTAGGTGGAATGCCATAACAGGACAGATATGGAACGGACAAAATATAACGAACTAAAATGTTTCTCAATTTGACATAGTAGTTTTCCAAATCTGTAGAGATGTGCAAATTTACTGCAGTATAGTTGTCTTTGGCCTGAGTGGTTTTTCAATTTATTCTGCTTTATGAAATAAAGGGGCTTCTAATTCTTGGAAATTGGGCCATTTCATCAGAAACATTTAACGTATAAATTTTTTAGGAAGATATTCTTCCCTCAATGGCCACCAAAATATTAATCGTGGTAGTGCTTGCAAATAACGTTGGCAAATTGCTTGAATTGTTGCATAAATTATGTTTGACTTACTTTTATATAGCTTTAATATCAAATGTGCTTGAATTTCTCAACTTTCTACTTGCTTTGATTTATCTAATTTGGGGCACCTTAAAAACCTTTAATTCAGTACCACTGCAAAGGTACACTTCTAAAAAAGACGAGAACCCAGGGTACATCTTTCCTCATCTGATACACAATTAGATCTGTGATAGCTTATAATGAATCTGATCTGGTCTTAAATCCTGGTCATACATGCTGATTAGTGATGGGTATCCTGTAGAGACCTCCACCAATCTCACTGGATGTTAAAACAATATGTAGTCATGACATGTACTCAAACTTTCCAGTGGTATGGTTTATTGTCAGAGAACCAGCACACAATATTGTGAACTTTGTGTGCATTTATAGAAACAAAAATGACACATTACTACATTTTTACTAGAGTCACATTGTAAACATACTTTTTTATTTAGGTAACTTTACCATAATCAGATCCTCTATATCGGCAATGATGATGCGTGACCCCTCTAGGATCAGATTGCCATCATTTAGAGTGGTATTAGCAGAGTCTGCACCTTTATTCACAGTATCTAGCTGCACCTAGAGGAAGGGAATACAATAAATGTTATGCATAATAGTCAGTGAGACATGTATATTAGACAAACATATTGTTTGCATACATACAATATCCAATGACAAATAAACACGGATAAAAAAAAAAACCATAAACAAAAAACAACCCATCAAACATTTTTTTCTCTCCCCATCTATAAGTAACTTCTTAAAGCAACACACCAAGCATCTACAGCTACAGCTCTCTGTGGTGTTTGCTAAGAGCTAAGAGTGCTCTGGCACTCCAACCCCCAACCCCCCTCATTGTAGGTAGCCAAACTGTTTTCTAATGGTTTAACATCTTACATGAGGCCCACTAGGCACCGTTACCTGCCTCCACTAACATTGGACAGGGCTTTGCCTAGGAGAGCCAAGGGTACTTTCAGTGAGGGGAAATAAGATTTCAGCCACTGCAAATTTGTGTTGTCACAGCTTGGCGGTTTCCCTGGACAGCGCAGAGGAAGAAAGGAACATTGGGGAGACGACAGCCGGAACGGAGCTGATGGCGAGGAGCTGGCTGTCGAGGCTCATGGTACCAAATCTGTGTGAGAACTGCGTGTTGGGCAAACACCCAACAGCAAGCAGATTTGGACTGAGTTAAAATGTTAATTTAAATAAAGCTGTGGCCGTTGTCCTTATCCACAAGAATGAGGTGTCCCGTGTATCATTAGGGGGCAACGGGTTGTTGGTGGGGACTGGTTGGGTCAGCAGTCATATTATGTTATTTTGTGTTTCTTCCACTCACTGTAGGAGCATTTGTCTCTGCTGTGTTAGTAGTGGGGGTGAGAGGAGCTCCGAGTTTATCCTGAAACTGAACAGCTTCATCTGGTCACTATGATAAACTCTCTTTTTCGATCATTTAAAAAAACAGACTTTGCTCCAGTCTGTCAGCTTAGATAGAGGAAAGAAAATTAATGGGAGTTATGTGTAAGAAGTGTTGTGTTCTGAAAAGTGGTCTAATGTGCTAAAAGTGGGAAAATCCCCAAGGCAACTAGTGAAAACAGCAGACATATTGAATTTTTGTCTCTGCCCCTTTCTACGTTTGCATCACTTTTCACAACAGACATTCTTTATACATAACTCCCATTGTTTCTGTTTCTCCTCCTACACCAGAATGTGTGCCGTAGCCGTGCCAAGACTGAACTGGATTGTCATGTCAACAGCTAAATATTTAATTATACAAACAGAACATTACAGGAAAACAGTTAACACAAGTTTTATGTGATTTTCAATGTTCTAGTCAAGGGGTAATTTCCAGAGATGTGATAAATAGTGATGTCTCGAACGGTTCGCCGAAGACGGCGAACATATGACCCTGTACCTCACAGTCAGCAGACACATTCCAGCCAATCAGCAGCAGATTCTCCCTCCCAAACCCTCCCACCTCCTGGACAGCATCCATTGTGAAGCTGCATTCTTAGTGAGCTGTCCAGGAGGTGGGAGGGTCTGGGAGAGAGGATCTGCTGCTGATTGGCTGGAATGTGTCTGCTGACTGTGAAGTACAGGGTCATATGTTCGCCGTCCATGGCGAACCGTTCGGGACATCACCAGTGATAAATCTAATTTAATTTTACAGATTTGTTTTTTATTTCACCATGGTTAACTGTTTGAATAATTGAATGTTATTGGATAAACCACGTAGTCTGTGATGTTGTTTTTCTAGACTGACAAAGAATACACTACCGTTACGCTCTATGGAGAGTGAATGCATCTTACATTGTATGTTTTAAGCTTGGCAATATTTTCCATGTTTGCAGCTGTTGTTCGCCTGGTATCCTCCTGCGCATCCTTAATTGCCTCTTGAAGATCCTTAAGCTTTGCGTTATGTACAGCAATTGGATCCAGGATATCAGGAAAAAGTGACAATGTATTGTTCTGCATTATCTGCCAATCTTCCAGGACTTCATTGAGTACTAAAATATGAAGGCATCACATCAACATTTAAGGCTTTGGACAGTCTTTAACACAGATATACATATTTAATAAACTTTTATTTGATCAAAACTCACCATTGTGGTACCACCACCTTGTTCAATAAACTTTTGAATCATATTTCCAGAACAGAATGCTTTTTGTCAGGCCTTAAAGGGACACTAGTCACTAAAACAACTGTAGCTTAATGAAGCAGTTTTTATGTATAGAGTATGCCCCTGAAGTCTCACTGCTCAATTTTCTGCCATTTGGGAGTTAAGCATCTTCTGTTCCTGTTTATGCAGCCCTAAACATAATGTATTACGTATGTTTTACATATGGATACTGCTTTCTTTTTATACTCTACAGCCAACTGACAGGCTCTTACTATTACACGTCACTTCAGGTGTTTTAATACCCTATATGAGTGCTATCCTACTAACTTAGCATGGTGTCTTTAAGGGAATATAAAGGATCCTACTCCTAGTTGCTTTATGTAGTATATTTTCATATTTTATTGGTTACCATTAGTGATGTCGCTGCCTTCAACATGGATGCTGTCCAGGAGGTGGGAGGGTCTGGGAGGGAGGGTCTGCTGGAGATTGGCCGGGATGTGTCAGCTGACCGGAGTTCGCCGCGAACGGTTCGCGCCGAACCGTGGCAAGCCGTTCGCGGGAAGTTCGTGAACGGTTCGCGACATCACTAGTTACCATATGCTCAATAACAGCAGTGGTTTAACAGGCTCCAGAGCCATACATAACTTTATTACTGCAGAATTATGTTGAGCTATGCACCAGACGTAATCTCTTGCTTTTGTTGTTTTACTTCCGTTTAAGTGTACATAGAATTAAGAACCCTGCCTTATGTGTATACTCGACCATCATAATGGTTATTATCACACCAGACGGCAATATGATGTCCAGCTATTTCTTGTCATGACAGGGACCCTACATATATAATTATATTTTTTTTAAAAGTGTTACAGGTCTTATGTGTATAACGGTATACTGCAACTATATACCTATGCATTTTTTACCCTGTTCTAATGATGCAATTCCTCTAATTTCTAATCTGTCCTGGAATGAGATGTAAATAAAATAAATAAAAAATAAATGAATAAATAAACTCTCAATCTGAAGAAAACTCAAAATTTTAAGTATTTTTTTCTGGTCTAAAAATGCACACAATATGAGACACAATTGTGTATATATTTACGGGTCTTATTTATTAATTATATTATAATGTATTTATATTTAGAATTTATAGAGAAGAATGCAAAAACTTGACCAAATTACTTTCATTTTGCTAATTATAATTGTTTAGAACTTAACATTTATACATACAGTTTATATTTTTTTATTGTTATAGTGTGTTGTTGGTGTTTGTTATTATTGCTTCAGAATATAACATATCTGCTGTGTCATTCAAACAAAAAGTTCATATAACAGACACTGGTAAACTCACGTTCTTGAGCTTTTGCTGCCTCCTCTTCAATCAGGGTTCTGGACAGGCTGAAATTAAGTTTTGCAATGTCCTCCAACATGTCTTCTGCACTGCGCAAGTTTTTGACTCGATCAAAGGCATTCACATCCCCCTGGAGGGATTCATAATACTGCAGCTTAATGATCAACTCTGGAAACAAGATGAGGAACAAAATGAATGAAAGTGGTTACCGATGACCTGCATTGTTCTAAAGATGGTATTTATTAACCTGGAAACATTTTTATTGGAATTGTTTTCTTTACAATCCTGGCTATGCAGAACAATGTATTGGAACATTAGATGCTCCCTACAACCATGCTTTCCTTTTGCAGATAGGATCTCCTCTCTTTTGATCCAAAGAAATCTTCCTTGTTGTCCGTCAGGGTTATTAAATAAACTGATGATTGTAGGTACAGGAACTGTAAATACGTGAGCAAGAAAGCTAAATTGCAAAAAAATTCCAGATGGGCTACTAGAACCTATATGTCTAAATTATTTTATGAATCAACCTCAATTTCCAACTTAATGGATAACCCAGTAGGAGTTCACAGTCGTATTTCACAATTATAATTTGTACTGCAGTCATTTATAAATTGCAAATGATTGTGTAGGTTTCGAGAAAATGAAAAAATGAAAGGGGAAAGGAAAAGAAAAAAGGAAAGAAAGAAGGAAAAATGAAGAGAAAGGAACTAAAATGCTAAAAATGCACACACTTTTGTCAGAGAACTCAGACACAAAATATCATTTATATTATCACGTTTTAGCGCAATGAACGGTGAAAGCAAAGAACGAAACGATGAAACGATAAAAAATCTCATTTTTGACAGCTGCCCTCTGCATATCTGCTGTGTAGAGAAAATGAACTTTGAAGCATGCGGTGACAGTGAAAGTTATTGCTTTAATATAATGTATATTAGTTATCGTTGATTTACAGAGACAATATAAATATGGATTTTGTTGAACTGTACTTGGCAGGTGATGAAGCGGCTGTGTTGAGTATGTGCAACCCGTCAGAATTGGTAAAGGTCTCTTCAGCAATGACGTTGCAAAAAAACCAGAGATGGCGGAAAAATAAAAGTAGAGAAATTCCGGCAAAGATACAAAATAACACACAATAGGGAAGTAAATGAGAAATAAAGTGTGTAACTAATACAGCAGTCTTCTTTTTTTTTTATGATGCCATTGGTTTTTGAGCAGTTTGAGAAAACTATGGCTCTCTGATTCCCAAGGTCTAGTCCATTTAGCTGGACAGGCTACTCCAGCATTCTCAGCCGATCATTGCCAGGCAAAGCTGGACAGGCCAATATAGCAGCTAAATTCTGCATTAATAAGGTGACAGGAAAGGAGCAGAGATCCATTTAAAAAAATTTTTTTTAAAAAGCTGGACCATGGTTTGAGATAATACTGGAAGTAGGATGTCGCCCACAGACAATTCACACCATAACCACCCACTTGCAATGCATTATTTAACTGTGATGTAGAGAAGTCAGACCAGTGTTTTTTTCCCGGATTACTTAAGATAATACAAGGGAGACAATATTTGCCACTGCATCTGTTGGAAGTTCATCCGTCATGCACCTTGGGTCAGACAGTGTTTGAAAACTGTTTGTCTCCATGACCTCCCCTGCTTCACTGACTGCAGAGAATCAGAGAAGACCATATAGATTAACTGTTGGTTTTCAAACACTGTCTGACCCAAGGTGCATGTATATGGCTGAAGGATCCTGTCATATAAGAAAGGGAGGAATGTTTTTTCTCATTTTTTTTAAATACAGTTCATTTTAAAAATAAAAATCTATTACCTTTTAAAACTTGATGAATGGATTGTTATATTTGAGGTGACAGTTGTCCTTTAATGTTGCTTCTCGAGGTGTAACTTGAGGGCTGGCTATAGTCAATCCTATGAATATTCTATGTTCAGAATATCATTCAATGGCTAAAAGCACTCGGCTTCTGCTTTTAGCCAATGACTGAGTGGCAGGGTTGGCATCCTTCTTCTGAAGCTCTGAAGAACTAAGTGCGTTAAAGTCACCAATGTGGGATCCTGATAAGAGGGCAAACTGTTTCAAAATGGTTTCCCCTATTTCTGGGAAATGGTACCAGGGTACTGCTAGCTTTAGAATTCTACAGCAGGCTGTATTAGTTATGATCTTTGGAGTAATTCTTTAAATACATTTATACATCAGGTCTTGCTTCTCGATAGCATACACACAGTTTGTATTAATGTAACATATTCAGAGTATCCTCTATCATTATGCATATTTTTCATAAAAGCAGAGATAATGTGGCCTTAATTGTAGAATAAAATTACATTATAAAAATAATTTAAAAAAGAAAAAAATTATAAAAAAGCAAATTATACTACAAGTAAAATATTTACCTTGGATACCAGCTTCTATGTCACTAATTTGGGTTGCAATCAACTCAGCGCGGTTCTCTGTTTCTATGGTTTCCTTGCTTGTTTGCAAACCTTTCATCTCTGCTAAATTTCCCTAGAAATAGCCAATGTCAACACAAGTTCAGAATGTTCTATTTTCCATCAGCACACAGTGTTACTAAATCAGAACATTTCAAAACATTTCACATGCAGCTTGACATTAGACATATGCCTAATAGAGTGCTATAATTCACATGTTTATACATTCTCAAATTCTGTACAGTCACAGCATTCAAAACTTAGTTTGATGTTAATGTTTATACCACATCCATGACAATCAAATCATTATTTCGTATTATATAACTGGCCATTTGGAACAGTATGATTCCAAAATTGAGCTAATGCCTTTAAGGTATAATTGGCACCCAGCATTAAATGCCCTTTGTGCTTCGTGGTTTAAATAAGACAGACACGTGCCTCATAATATTTACAGACAAGATGTTAAGCTGCTGATCCCCAGCTTTTGTTGTGCAGCAAATCTCATAATTCATTGACATCCAAGAGAAAAACTTTTTCAAACCTAATTTGCCCATTATGGTGGATCGGAAATTTTTCTTTTGCATTTCACTTTTAATTTTAAATTCTTACTGTATTCGGGTAGCATATTCTACAATCTTCAATCATTTTAAGGACAACTAAAGTCACCCAGATAACTTCA